GCCAACCACATCTTGTCATGCATCCACAGATGCATCTCAGGCAGATCCAAGGAGGTGATCCTCCCCCTCTATATGCGGCACTGGTCAGGCTGCAGCTGAAGTACTGCATCCAGTTTTGGGTGCTGCACTTCAGGAGGGATGTAGATAACCTGGAAAGGGTTCAGAGGAGGGCCACCCACTTGGTTAAAGGCCTACAGGAAAAACCCTACAAGGACCAATTAAGGGATCTGAATCTCTTCAGCCTCCACAAGAGACAGATGGGAGGTGATCTTGTAGCCATCTACAAACTCATTGGGGGGGACAGCAGGAAATAGGGGATATGATGTTTACCAGTGCACCCATCAAGGTAACTAGAAACAATGGTCACAAACTGAAGAAGAGCAAATTTAGATTGGACATCAGGAAAAAATTCTTTACAGTGAGGGTTGCCAAAATATGGAACATGCTTCCAAGGGAGGTGGTGCTGTACCCTTCCTTGGAGGTATTTAAGAGGAGATTGGACAAACACCTGGCTGGGGTCATCTGACCCCAGCACTCTTTCCTGCCCATGGCAGGGGGGGGGTCAGACTCGATGATCTAATAGGTCCCTTCCAACCCTAAAATCTATTAAATCTATGAAACTCTTAAGTAGAGAAATTTACTGAGCAGTAAGCATCTGCACATGTGGATGGTGGTGCTTACTGCTCAGTAATTTGCTGTACTGTGCAGTAAAGGATCTTGTGTAGATGCACAGGAGGAATTTTTCAACCGATGAAAAATGCTTTTCATTGTCCTTATACAAGAGCGTCCCCCCCACATTATAAAGAAAACCTTTAAAAATGCCACAGGAGAAAGGAACCTTCAGACCATCTTTATATTTTCATAGATGAACAATAGAGGGCGCAATAGAAAGCAAGCAAAACAAATAAATAAATAAATAAAATAAACCCTAATGTTTTCCTATGCAGATTTCCTTTTAAAATAGAACTGCCTTCTCTTCCCCACAAAGACACAACTTTGAATGGAACTGTAAGTTATATAATTTAGACAGTAAGAGCTAGTGCAGTTGAATGATGATTGGGTGTGTAACAACCTGCTAATTTTCCATAGGTTGGGACAAGGGTTGTTATGGGGATGATTTGGAGGGTGACGCTAGGAAGCTTACAGAAAGCTCCATTTGCCTGGGCAATTTTGTAGTACCTCTGAGCCCATGATATACCTCCTGGTCGTGAGCAGCAATGCCAGGTACGGTCCACTTAAAAATAGAAGGTTCTGCCCAAATGAAGTCCCTTTACTATTGCACAGAGCTCTGTGCATGCAACAACGCGTGGGTGCTATGGTTTATATAATAAGGTCTTACTGTAAACTATATATGCAAAACTTAAGCATGTACCTAACAATGGGAGGTTGAATGGGTTCAGAAGTCATGATTTTCATATGTAAATTAGGGTAGGTGCTTTGTATTTGCTTGAAAACTTGAGCTTTAATAAGCAGAACTGCATTTTTAAAGTAATATTTCATGAAATATTTCAAAATATTTTAGTGTAATATTTTTAAAACAGACAGGCTTTCCTTTCTGCAGACTGTCTCCCAGGGCGTGTCTACACATTCATTAATGCACTTTAGGTAATGCACATTAAATCTAATACCTCCATTGTGAGGTACTAGAAAAAATGTGTATTAGTCTATTTTAATGCTTAGAGTATGGTTTTTTGTGATGTTTTAATGTGCATTAAAATAGGCTAATGTGCACTAAAATACACATGTAGATGTGCTCCCAAGGTCTTACACTTATTTCTTTCTCTAATTTGGCCACATGGAAAAGAAGACATTGCATACATTTCATTTTATAGTAAATGGAATAATAATATATGTCTGTCAAGTGAAGGAGGATGATAAATCCAAGAGTTATCTTTCTAGTTGCAGGACCTGCATTCATATTACAATAATTTTTATATCCCCACTACAGAATTACACAGGTCAGAGGAAGGCTTTTTTTTAATTTCAATAATCTCAGGAAAAGAATTTTTCTCTGACAAACTCCTAGGGGCAATAGGGTTGACTAAAAATATCATTTATATGGAATTTCTGTTTTAGTCCTTAAGGTCTGTAGAGGACTTATTTTAATGGGGATGGGCCATGAATATTAACAGGGTTGTGGTTAGGAATGTTCAGACATTATTGCTTGTAAATTTTAATATCAATACACTTCATTTAGAAAACATATTTTTAAAACCGTCTTAAACTTCCCTTCTTTCTGTTCTGAAAGACTTCTCTTCCCTGTGTTTGAGCTTCATTTATATACACACAATATATACTGTATGTATAAGCGCATATATATATCTATAGATATATCTATATATCTAGATATATATATACACACACACGCGCGCGCGCTCTGGCTGCATCTATACAAGACAGTGCAGTAGCTTGTTACTACTGCGCAGTAGCGTCACGGGGCACAAACCGTGATGTGACACTGCTGCGCAGTAAATGTCACCAGGCAATCATGACGTGACGCTATTGTGCAGTAACACCAGTTACTGGGCAGTCATTTAGTACTTGGTTATGACTAAATGACTGCGCAGTAATAGCTGAGCAGTCAGCGTCTCCTGATGCTGCGCCCTATATGTATGTAATTATAATACAAAAATAGGCCTGTTAATTGCCAGGAAAATAAAGCCTTATTATTTACTGTTAAGTGTTTTTCCTGGTTGCTGAGATGTGGCTCTGAATTTTCACTTTAAACAGCTTTTCCTAAAACAAAGTTTCAAACCGTCCTATTCCAATTCAGCTAAACAGCACTAGGGGCTAATGCTACCACTTTAAGAGACAGCTGTATCAGCTGACACTTAACTCCACCCGTTCATGAAAGTCGAGCAATGGGGGAAAAAAAAAAGATCCTGCTTAGAAAGCAAGAGGGATGCACAAGCTCAGAAGAATCTAATTTAACGCTGAAACTGTAAGCAATGTAACTTGGACTTTGCGGTTTTCTAACAGAGGCTTGTTTTAGCATTTAAAAAGTAAAATAGAAGGGGTGGGGTGGGAAGAGCTAGGACAGATCATTCTGTATTGTGCTAAGCTAACGTTTGCTTACTCTGTTACTTGAAATAAGGAAGAGGAACAAGCTATCTTCTTTCTCGTGCTGCTAAAAAAAGACTCGTGCTGCTGCATTAACTAGAACTGAAATCCAGAAAGGAGTCTGCCAGATTGGGACCTTGTGGAAAAAGTGTGAATCCTTCAGGTGATACTTTAATATGCCTTCACGTGATCATGCCCTGAGCCCTCCAGCTAGTAGGAGGGGAAACTCTTGGCTGGGGTTTTCCCCCCTGCATTTTTGTAGCAGGATGGTTCTGCTTTTTCTTTCGTTGGAAATCATTGCTAGGGACCAACTCCTTAGCCATGACGGACAAGATGCTTAAGGCTCAGCTGTGCTGTAGTTACTTCTAACTGTTCCCCTGTGACCATTACCCCTGTGCTGTAGTTACCCCTGAATGAGTTTTGAGCCAGCAGGGACATTTTTAATGTGCCTGCCTCTGGTAAGAAGAGGGATGGGGGAATCTCATAATTATTTGTAAAAGTGGATTTATTTCTTGTAATCTCATCTCATCCTAAGTAAATACGTATTATCTAAGTCACTGACATGAGCATACATACTGTATGGGGGAGACAGAGTAGCTGCCAAAGGGAAGCAGAGTGAAAACTGACCTTTTGGTCCTGGGAAAGGTGTCACGAGAATCAAACCACATTAGGATGATCTGGAAACACTGGGAACTGTTCCTGATTGCCAAACATTTAGGAACAGTCTTTCTGCACTTACATTTTGCCTTCCTTTTTTTTTGTTTCCTGTGTCTTCTGTTCTGCACTGTTCATGTGCAACTTGGACAAGCTGCATGCCAAATTTAGTGCTTCTGCCTCTTGATAAAGCAACCTGTGACCTACAAAATGTATTATAAGCAATAGGCTATTTTGACAGCCCCAGGTAATGGACTTTTTAATCACTTACCCCACTATTACTAAAATACTTAAAAGCATTTTAATTACAAAAGCAGATGTCAGGGTTTAAGTAAAACAGTATGTTTGAACAAGGTGAAGGAATCATGGGTTAATAGTTCTGGAACAACGTTTAGTCTTCTGTATATTATCTGGTAACATGTCCTGAAGGAGAGAGTGCTTGTGTGATAATTTAACAAAAATGGCCTAAGTGGGCAACATTCCTAAAAGTAAATCACACCAGAGAGGTGTAAGAGTGTTAAATAAACTTTTGTCCGTTATGAAATGTCATTCCTGGGGAAAAATCCACTCACTTGTCTGTGTTGGGTACAGCCACTAGTGTCTGCTCCCTCAAAGGCTGTTCCATTTCTAAGTGGCTTGCTTGTGCTTAGTTATTGTTTAAACTATCATTACTGAAGCAATCTATTTTGAAATTTATAGAGAAGTAAGAAGTTAAAACTGTTGAGCAATACACTTTCTGTAGTGGAAGTTTTTTGCCTCTGTGAAAGTGTCTACTCATTTAGTCACTGGGGATTTATACTGGTCATCTAATAGTAAGTGCAGATTAGAGTTGAGGTCAGAAAACTGTAACAGTTTTCACTCTGCTTTCTGTTGCTTGTGTGGTTGTATTGGCGCTATTACCTTTTCTAGGCTTCCTAGCACTGTTGGAAGTTGTTTTATTTGAAAAGTTTTAGACAAGTCATTTTGACTGTTTGAGCTCTGCAATGTGAATCCTTTTTCCTCACAGGCTTTTTGTGGGTGACAGCGTAAAAAATTAGCGGAGTCTGAAAGTGGGTATGGGCATAATTCAGTGCCATATTATGACATGCTGAGACCTTAAGCTCTGTCCAGTTTAAGAGGCCCCATATGATAAAAAATAAGCCATGAAATCCACAAAAATGGATTTTCATTAAATTTTAAGATGCATTATTGTTATTTTAGTACACACTTATGAACTCAATATGAATAACTGTGGAGCCATATATATGTATACTAGCCAAATGCCCATCATAAATGATGGATTTCACAGAAGTGGTTACATGGCTGGCCCTGAAGGGTGGCCCTGCCCCTGCCCATTCTGTTGTCCCGCACTGGGAAGCCACAGCCCCCCAGCCCTGCCGGAGGGCCCCAGTTGTGCCCGCCTTGCCCAGGCCAGAGCACTAATTGCCCTAATTACTATAGGTGGTGGTGGAGTGTGTCCGGCCCCTGCACGGGCTGAGGGAAGAGGAGGGGAGGCTTGTGGTACCCCTGCTCTTGGATAGGGCTGCAGTGCCCTGTGGGCAGCCTGGCCAGGGACCCTCTCTCCTTTCCCCCCCACTCCCCAGGCAATGATTGCTCAGCCCCGCAGAGCACAGGCACTAGCACCGACGCTGTCCCTGCTGTTCTCTTGCCCCTTTCCCCCACTGGAGAACAGGCAACCCTCCCCACCTGCCCTGTCGCACGTGCAGCCCCCGCTCCCCCTGCCCGGACCAAATGTCCGGGATTTTGCTGTGCTCCAGGAGTAGGAGGGAGGAGGCGATCAGGGGCAGCAGGGAGCTCGTGCCAATTTTTTTTTCTGCCTCTGGAGGTGGGGTGGGGGGAGCCCACACATTGGAGGCTGCAGGATGAGGTGGTGCTGGTGGTGGAGCTCCCGTTTTGACTCAGCTGGCTCTGCCTGGCTCGCATAGCCAATCGGCACATACGCAATTGGGCAAAAGTGTTATGGACGGACAGACAGACAGACTAAGGCTTTTATTATATTAGAATTTTTATCATATTAGAATGAAAATCTCCAGTTTTTTTTTTTCTTATTTAGAGACCCATCATATTGCAAGGCCCTAAGGATGTAGCTTAAGTAGCTTAAGCCAAAATCTAGCACTGGCATAGTTTTTAGTGGAGAATAAGCTGGTTCAGACAAAACTGTAACATCTGAAATTTCAGGGAATATATTATAAGGAAAGAGGGTCTGTCCTACTGAAAGTTAATGGTTAATTAGGTGCTTGACAGTGTTGTCTTTGAAAATTTTCCCTGTAAAACATCTTTCATGTGGTATGGCAGAGCAATCTTTTTCTGCATGTTTGAAAGACCCTTCCCGTTTTATTCCCGTCGTTCTTTAAGAGTTCCATTTAGTACAAACAATTTTCCATAGTAATATTCAACCTGAACTTCCCTATTTTAGCTGAAAGTACTGGCTGCTCTATATTTTTCCTTCCAACTGCAGTGGAATCTTAGCTTTTTTTACCATGCATGCAACACATGTTTGAACAGGGAAGTGCACAGTTAGATTTTTTTGGTTTTTTTCAAATAACTCGCCTTTTGACTGACTGATATGTAGACTAATGACATTGACAGCATCACAGTTTGCTTTTAACATCACATATATGTAATATTTCTATATTTTAGCATATTGTATCTTCATTGTACATCAGCACAAGTCAATTAATTATGCATAATTGAGTTGTTTGATGTGCGGTGAAGATGCAACATTTTAAAATATAGGAGGTCAAATGCAAAAATTCCCTGTGGTATTCCTATATTAAAGTTGTTATATACTTAAACAACCCAATGTTAGTATTAAATGTTGTTCTCTTGGACATATGCCTGTACGTATAAAACCTGATTGTCAGCTGCATCTTCTGAAAACTGAACTCTAGCATGAACAGAACAACACCGTGGCATGTTCTACATTATGGTGGCTTGGAACAATCCCCTTCATGGTCATCAGCTCAAAAATAGCTGGATTGTGAAGACTCATCTGTTTCTACTCAGACCATACTTCTTTCTGCAAATACACGCGCTCAGTAAGGGATTGTTTTGGGGTAAAATAGCGCCGTACTGCTGGCCTAAACTTCCTGGGGAACGCTTTATTCCCATAGTATTCCTTATGGGCCTCTGAGGAGGCTTTGTGGGTCTTTCCAGAGAGCATCTCCTCCTCTCTGCATGGTATCCCCAGAAGCACCAAAGAGCTGAAAGTCCAGTTGCAATGTAATGACAGCTTTTCAGCTGCACATAACCATATGGGTAGTTTCATGGCCAGTTAGGAATAAACTTGAATTGACTTCACAGTTTTTCCAATTTTGAGATGCGTGTGCAAATTGGAAAAGGATGGGGACTGATGGTTAGAGTAGTTGCAGTTTCTGTTGTCTTTGGAAATGTTTGAGAGTCCAAGTTAAATTCACTGGATAGTTGTGGCAAGAGAAAGAGAAAATGGGGGCATCCCTCTTCTATCCAATAGCTCAAAGGTAAAAGAATTGATTTAGGATTTGGAAGTTCATTTTTATCTTTTATGCCAGGGGATTTGAACCTGTATATCTCACCTGCAAGGAGTATACCTTAGCCATTGCATTCTAGGGAATTTGGGGCAAGGAGGGGCAGATCTCAGTCTCTCTTGTTCACTTCTTCTTGCTTTATATGGAATGAATATGCATTCACTAGAATAGGGACTGGAATCCAGGTGTCTCATCTTTTAGGTGAGTGCTCTACCCTTCAAGCCAGGAACGCTTCTCTCTTTCTGATTATTTATTTTATACAAAGTAAAATAGCCAAAAAGGAGAAATTAAATGAGATAGATCTCCAACATCCTGTGGGTTGGGGCACTGACTTTTTTGCATAAGGCTGCATAACCTACCTTCAAAGGAGGGGATGAACTCTACCTATTATGTATTTTCTGTCTCTTATTAATACAGTCTTACTACTTTTTACCAGCCCAGAAGACAAATTCCAAAACCTAGCTTAGTAACTGGAATGAGTTCACTATTGCCCAAGGCTATAATAACTTGCTGTGGTAACAGAGTGGTTTCAGCAGAACACTCATATATTCAAGGCAGTGGTATTCAAATTTTCCTGAAGGCTTGCATTTGCTATTTACCTCAGAGGAAGGGTATGAATTTCCTGGCTGTACCAATTTTCAGTAATCTATTGCAGTCGTGGAAATCAGCGACAGAAATAAAAAGGAGTGAAGCAGTTGCAACCTTTATCTGTCCCCCTCTC